CAAAGAAGGGTAAAAAAGAAAAAAATGTAATTGTAAAGTAAATAGAAAAACTTGTAAATGTTCTATGCCCACATCAGCCCAATTTAGATCAGTGCATGTCAACCTCGACCATATTTTTTCTGGTAATTTTGGTGGGTGGTTAGGTTTACCCAGGTAGTGGTAGGTATTACTAATCCCCCCCCTTGGAAAAGCAGGTAGGTGGGTGTTACAAAGATTTTAGCCCCTTAAAGGTGGCAAAAGGGGACACTGACAGCCTTGGTTCATTTTCACATCACATGGCAACAGATGCCAAATGACAATTATTTTGAGGGTTTTAATCATAATGGTGTTGTTTCTTAGACTTACACACACACACACACACACACACACACACACACACACACACACACACATGCATGCAAACTAACACACACACATGCATGCAAACTAACACACACACACACACAAACACACACATGCAGGCAAACAAACACACACACACACACACCCATACATACATACATGCACACGTTCACATGCATGCACAACACACACACACATACACCCATGCATACACGCACACATTCACATGAATGCACACACACACACACACACACACTAGTGTCCATCTACAGGCTTTAGAAAAAAAAAGAACCCACTACATTGACAATACAGGACTTACATTGCCAAATTGGGTGAGCACTTCCTCCACAGCTCCGCTGAACTTCACAATGCTCTTGTCCAGGATTTTGGCCTCAGCCTGGGGAGGGCATAGAGAGTAGTTTGTTTCGTTGAATAAAGAGAAGCACATCCACACAATTATGGCTATTCTGTGCAAGGGAAAAAGTAAGACCCACAAACATTCTTTTTTTCGTAAGAGTTTAACGACACTTGCAAAACAATAAGGTCTTATAAGTGCCGAAGACTAGAGGTGTTACAAGGGTGTAACAAACACAAAAAGAGAAGGAGGGGAGATACAGACGATAGATGCTAGATTGGAAAGAAGCAGCAAACTACACCAGAGCACCCACCAACCACCTACACCTACAGACAGAAACAATAGAAGAAACGAAAAAACGAAATGAACAAGAACCAGCCAGTTGTGCCACTGGTACCCTCCAACTAACTGCAATAACAAAAGAGAACAAAGTTTTACAATGCACATCAAACTTGGAGTTTTTTTTCATTCAATTAAATGTGAAGTAGACTTCTCAAAACACTCAACACAAAATTTATAGTGTGAAAATACAGGTAAGAACAACCACTGCCATCTGCCCCCTGCAGTGAACATACAATACAAATGTGTCAGAATCTCAAACCACCAACCCCCCCCCCCCCCACCATAAACGCAAACCAAGAACTGACCTCCAGCTCTGGGTGCACGTCTGTGTGAAGCTGCATCTCCTTGGCTCCGATGACCGACTGACCCTTGGTCTTCCTCCAGGCCGTCTTGAGCATGAGGCCTGGGTTGTTCAGGGGGTTACGCAGCTTCCTGAGGACGGGACACACAGTCTCTTTGTTGTTTTTTTTGGGATTTTCTTGTTTTAATAGGTTGTTTTTTTTGCGCTCACAACTGCATAAGGTTATATAAGAGCCAAGAGGTGGATGTCAATAGAGAAGTCTTTACAGGGAATCAGGCTTGCTTTGACTATCAAAGTGCCCCAGAAACAGCGGGTCACAAGAGAGTGACAAACATAAAAAAAGAAGTAGAGGCAAAATAACGATAGTAAGGATTAGGTTGTTCGTTTGTTTGTCTCTCTGCTTGATTGTTTGAGTAAAGAGAAGCAAATTGACACTACAACAGTCACTTTGTGCTGGGACAACTAAGACAGACAGACGGAGAGAAAAAACCCAAACAAAAGGAATGTAAAAAAGTATGAACTATCGGTGGCACAAGTGCCGGCCCTACAGTTGTAAATATTCATGAAGGACAAGGACTTCTTGTTCATGATGGGTTATTTTATGTTAGGAAAAAGAAAGACAGACAGAAATAACTGTGAGAAAGTAAGTTTAGTTTTAGTTTCAGTAAGAGTTTTACAGCACTTGCAACACAATAAGATCAAATAAGTGCCGAATATTAGAGGTGTCACAAGAGAGTAACATACACAAAAAAGAAGGAGGAGAGATAAGGACGATAGATGTTTGATAGGAAGAAAGGAGCAAAACACATGAGAGCACCCGCCAACCACCCACCTGAGAGATAGTAAAGAAGTGGGACTACCTGTGGAACTATGGTAGGTCTCAAGTACCACGTCTTGTTTATAATGAGTCAGAAGTTTGTGTGAGTAAAAAGTAGCACAATGAATAGATAACAGTAAATTAGTAACGGGGCAAATGACAAACAACATAGGCAACGTCTTTGGAAAGGGT